TGAAATTGAACGCAGTGAAAAATATTTTTAAATAACCTTAATTTCAAAAAACACAATGTCCATCATTTAATAAACAAATCATATTTCTTAGTTTGCACAATAAAAGAATCCACATGGAATAATATATAAACGAGAGATACTATTATTTTTCTTTCAAGTTTCAACAATTAGTTCAATATTAAGTTGGGCAAACATTCATAATTTAGTATCCTTGTGCAAAGTTTATCAATATATATATATTATAAGAAGGTCATCGATTATTATTACATAGATATTAAATGCATGACAGAAAATCTACTTGTAAAGCACAGTTCGTTGTTATTCTTTAAAAATTAAATGAATAAAAAAGTACTATTTAAAACAATTTGCTATAATTACTTTGATTTTCATGGCAAAAATATCTATGTACTATATACATGTGGCCATATTTTCCTTCACATGTTATTATAAATGACAAAATAAGAGTATATAGTGTAAAAGTGAACAGATCATTGCATTAATTATCCTACTTTACGGTACATGTATCTTTTACAAATGTCAGATGTAATAGACTTAAAACACAGGAACTTTAAAGTGCACTAATACAACTAATTTCTCCACATTCGATTTAAAACAATAGGATATGAAATATAGAAAAGTAGTGGCAGTAATGGATGGAGTAACCGCACGGTTGCAACGTATAATTTATAATGAACTTAAATTATATTGCAATGAGAAAATTACTAATTTAAACACATTATAGCTGCCAAATTTGTTCATTACATATTCATGTGAATGTCATACTACTAAATGTTGAACTGAGATACTTACATAGTTTAACATTCCATATGTGGGAGTGCTAATTACATAGATTTACATACTATTTTAAATTAGACAAAAATATATGCATTTTTCATGCTTGGATCTTTTGGACCATCTTCGATCAAAAGCACCTGTTACATTCAAAATGAGGGATTAAATGTCAGCACAGAATCACATTAAGTTATACAACACATGATATATCTGTTAGCAAGTCTAGGATCTATAAATAATACAATCTAACTTTACAATAGGCACTAAACACATCAGCAAACACTGTAACGCTAATAATAGAAGCACTATACATCGTATGGCCAAGACATTTACCTTTCAACAAACTTACATATTTTTTCCTTCTGAACAACAACATACCCAATGCAATTTCACAGGTGGGGCCTGAGGAGGGTAGGAATTTTATAACAAAAGGTTATAGCAAGATTTTCTGAACCCGGAGATGGGGGCAGGTGGTACCTCTGTCGCTTAAAATTTTCAAGATCTTCGACTTGCAACATTTTATTTCTGATTAAGCAGGCTTCTAGCAGACTCATTGACATGTTTATAGTCCAAGGCTCCAAGCTAACAAAAAAGATTCTATAGGAATGTGAGGAAGCAACTACTAAGCACTGATGGGGAGTTCATATTTCTTCTTCAAGGAAAGCAAACAAAATTGAAAGCTAGCATCGAAAGGAATAACTGTGTGACATTCATCCCTCCCTTTGAAGAACCACATCATGTGTGAACTTTCCAAACCAATGATTCTCCAAAAATCCTATTGATATGCAACCATATTATTAATTAAATAATAAACATGAAGCAGCTGCTTCGCTCTGACTGCAGTGAATGCAAACTGGGCATTTTTAAAAGCAATAAACAAATTAGCATCTTAAAAGTAGCATGGTCTTCGGTGCAAAAGCCATTTGTTAAGAAGATTTATGACAAGAAACCGTAGAAACATGAGAAATTGGAAATGTAACTAAAATTTTGTAACCATTTTCTCCTCGCGTGAAGAAGTGAACAAACCTCTGGTGTTTGTATGTTTTAATCTCTTGACAAACAGTATTTTTATTCAAAGTTAACAATGTCTTGTAAGATTCTTTTGACAATTTTAACGTTGGAACTTAGGACAGGGTTATACCTCCAACCAATGTGGGCATGTTAGGTATATGTTGGAAATTTATATACCTGAGCAGTGATGGAAAAATGGTTGTGCAATTGCATGTGAAGAAACAATTACACAGGCTTTATCTGCCAGAAGGTAATAATGATAAAAAGGCAGAATCGAAAAGCATTCCCATATGTTTAATGTAAGCCATCAGCATAACAATCATTATAATACCAGAAAGAAAATATTTTCATTTAAGTGATAAAAGAAGTACATGTAAAAAGATAACTTTTAACTAACCTGCTATCACAGGAGAAAATATTTTCAATTTCCACAAAAGAAGAGGAACACAAGGCATCCACATAGCAACATCAGAAGCTTGCAAAACACGACATTCAGTGGCAGCAGCAAAAGAGTGCAAAAAATGACCGTTTCGAGAACCACAACAAAAGTGTTCCAACTGCAATTCAAAACAATAAAAGATAATGTGTCTAGAGACTGAATCGAATTCAAAGAAAATAAATTCAAATATAAGTAAATCCTATTTATATTAGTCAATTGCAAAGATGAAATTATAAAGAATGTACAAAATAATTTAAATACCTTTTAATTCTTTTTCATGGGAGGATTTTTCATTTCCATGCTATGTTTGTGGGTGGAAGGATTATATTTATTTGCCATGCTTGGATATTCTTTTTCTCCTGAACTAAGATGTTCAATTGTGCGCTTTTTCGCATCTCTAACATTGACAGTCGTAGATGTCATTGGTTTATGAATTACATCTTGTTTCTCCAGGTAAGACAAAATGAATAATTTTTGTGTTGCATCCATTTTTTTTGTGAATAGCCTTTTCATTTGAATGTTGAATATCTTGCCGTTCAATTGATCTTCCACATTTTGGAGTGATAATGTTTCTTTCTGAAAAAAATGAAAAAAATCTGATTAGTAATAACAAAATCATTAATATTTTTTATTTTATATGTATAATTATAAGAAAATAAAGCGAACAGACAAATAGAAAGAGATTGAATATTTTTAGCATAAAAAAAGATGATCAACAACAATAAATATTAAAGTTGTTTTTAAAGGAAAATCAATATCTTTATGTTTATGTATTTACATCTGAACTGAAATTCAATATTAAAGGTCTTTCAACCAATCGGAGTCAACATGCAACAGTTCTAAAACGGCCACTCCGATTGTGGTAGGTATGCATGACAGTTTATGTACAAAGCGCTCAGCTAATGGGTAACTATGTGAGATGGATAAAAGCCAAAAAAAATATACAATGATAATATTTTTATAAAGAAAGTTGACTGTAAACAAATTAGAAAAAGTATAAGTTAGGTGCTGGAGAAAAGAAACACGAACATAAGATATGAAATTTTGACTGAAAAGAGTACACTGAACACTTTACAGAAGGAGACGTTGATGACATAATGTAAGAGTATACCCAAAGTATGTAAAGTTAAAACCTCTTTTAGAGTTAAGGCATGACCTAGAATCACATGTTCCTACTATAAAAGTTTTTACAACTTACATGATACATTAAAATAGATCTTTATTACAAATTCTTTCATGCTAGAGTTCTAAGTTTATAGAGTTATAGTATCCTTTTCAAGTTAAGGAAGTTATATGTTCAAGAAGTAGGATGCAAGTAGCTCATAAGTAATAATTGCTAATGAAACTTTTTTGTAAAAAGATGGAGTTTTATTCATCTGTGAGTTCACTTGTTTTTATATTAAAATCACTCTCAATCTACAATGTCTTTTGCTTTTTTTCTCAAATTTCTCGTTGTTCTTTTTTATGTCTAAAGTTGATGTCATTATTGTTTTGTCTTATATCTTCCCAATTTAATGGTTAAAGTGAAAACTTTTGTATGCAACTGCCGTCTTTATTTATGGTTACATAATGATCCTTTAGAGAATAACATAGTACATGAATTTCTTTGGGTTAGTAATGTTAAAATAAGTAATTGATAATTAGTTTCGCTTAACTGTTATAAGCCAATGGGCAGACTTTATAGGAGATATTGAGGGAGAGTTGAACCTTGTGTTCAAGAGTAGAAATAAGAAACAATAAAAATACAAAATCACAACAAGTTCTTTGTGATTATTTGGTGAGAAAATAGTGATATGTACCTTGATGAAGCAAATTTCATAAATCTCTTCTGAAGTGAGGTGCAACATTTTCTCTGCAATTTCATCTGAAATAATAGCTATTGCAAAACCGATGTTGTCCTTAATAGTAACTTCAAATTGACATCTGTTTTGATAATCAATGAAAGAATTAAAAAAATAATGGTTAGTTAAGACATTTATTTCTTTCAAGAAAGAAAATAAATCTTTTTAATTAGTTATTATTAATTTTGAAGAAGAGCAAATATACCTAGGAATAAGATGTGTGGATTGGTGACAACTTGTGCAGTAGATTTCCCTTCGCACGTTATATCTCGTGAACAATTGCTTACAATTTGAGCATGCCAACACACTAAAGCGTTGATCCTTACTTGCAAGGGACAATTCAGCCTCAACATTAAATACTTGTCCCTTCAAATTCAATATACCAAATATTATTTTTTACTGTAAAATAATTTTTTTAAAAAAAATAGAATAATATACTTGTTGTTCTTACTGGAGGTTGTACTTGGATGTTAGCCACAGATATAACCTCATCCTCAAATGGAATCAACATAATAGAGCCTATTGGAGTTGTACTTTTCATCTTATAAGCAACAAGCTTTGTTTCAATTGTTTTGATCCTATAACCAAGTAAAATTATGAAAATGTCATGTAGAAAGATTAGGAAAAAAGAAATAAAAGTGAAATTTTAAAACTTTGTGATTGTAATAAGATTAAAGATGTGTTTTATATCTCAAAATATTTTGGAATTTCGATGCATTAAATAAAAATGTATATTACCACGTCCTTAATTCGACAGCCTGTGGACATGGAGGATTGATTTCAATTGTTGTATTGAACTTGCTCGTCAAACCAACGAATCTATTCGATGTTCCTACGTGCATTTGAATATGTGATTTTAGTTTCATCATGTCATCTATTTTTCAAAAAGAAAAAAATAAATTTATTTGCACTTTTACCTGAAGATGATTTCCCAACTCTCCTAGCAAGAATGATCGGGTAATCATGAAGTTGGTTGAAAATTTTAACTCCCTCATGATCAATGAAATCCTCCCAAAGTGTCAGTTTTGTTGGTTTTTTCCTGCATATGATTCGAAGAATATTTTCAAACATTAAAATAAAGTTACAGAAGATATGTGATATTGTAAAAACATTATAAATAATAAAATTCAAGTCACATTATTAGTAACAAATACCAAGGATGGCCTAGAGTTTGTCTCAGTGTATTCTCAATTAGACATACAACAAGATCAAATGAAGATAGACAAAGAAACTTGAGGACAGAACCGAGAACATGAAAAAGATAAGGAGGAACATCTGCCAAATTCCTTCCAGGCAGCAGTAATCTCGGCTATTTCATTTTCATTGGGTATCATTGTGCCCATTTTTAATGCTGCATTTATACCAAATTACAAGGTAAGGCTGGCTGTGAATGTGGCTGCAATGAGCTTGTCATTGTTACTATGTGGAGGAATTGGTACTTTGTTGAGCACAAGTCGTATGGTAAAATCTTGTCCAAGAGTTTTATTGGAGGCAGGATGGCCATGGTCATTACCTTTTGCCAAAGGAACAAGTCAGTCTAGCAGATTTGGCTTTACATTGCCATAGGAAAAATACTACCAAGGAACTTATGGATGCATATATTAAAAGGGAGATTATAAAAGAATGTTTGAAGCAATTCATCAATACAGCAGTCAGTTGCTTGTCTGATCACAGAACTGATCATCCTTCAATGGTTTCAGTGCTGTGGAATCTTGAGTACTGCCTTCAGTCGCAAAGTGATCCTGATGAACCAAAAATGGTGGTAGAAAAGAAAGCTAATGATGTATATGCTATGCATACAGAATTGCTAATGGTTGCTGAAAAAGGTAAGCAGTCAGAGGAGCACACAACGTTGAGACAACTTATGGAAGGGTACTAAAGAAGGCAAAGAGTATCATCTTGTTAATTGAAAAATTTCTTAACTAAGCAGAGAGCATGATGGACTGCGTTTACTGACGTACTGATGAAATGACTTTGGAGATACAATGGTGAAGATCAAAATTCAAACATATGGCCAAAGAAACCACAAGTGGTGCACTAATATAGTTTCCAACAATTATGGAGTTGGTGTATGAAGGTCTATTAGACCATCATGGCCAGGTTTGTCTGAGAATATGCGCTAAAATAACTTGTTAAAGCATGAATAACAAATATACAGTCAATCTATTCGTCATAGACTCGTAAGACATAAACAGTTTATTCATCACAAGGCAAATTTCGAACACAAACAGGTTTACATGTATGGGTCACAAACAGGTTTACAACCAAGAAGAGGTAAATAAATCCTAAACATATAACGTTTACATGTTTGACAATATGTGATATTCTCTCTCTCTCTCTCTATATATATATATATACTTACAGCTTGTCCATGACAATAAACTCTTGAATTCATTTTCCAGTTGCAGTCTTTGTTGAAGGACTGCCATTAATGACAGTGGCAAGTACATCTTGCGTTAAACAAAAATAAAGAAAGAATAATTAGATCATGAGTAATATTCTATTATATTAACAATTAGATTTTATTTGAATAATAATAAATAAATAAATTTATAAATACCAAATTCAAATTCTTTGGATTGATACTCAAAAGTGTTAAATGTGGTAAGAGTTAGTCGTGTTGGTGGTGGTAATGGATCCTCTGGAGGTTTGACCTCTTCAACTGGTTCAACAATGGTGTTTTTATCGAGTGTCCAAATGAATTTGTTAAGTGGATTTTCGTATCCAAGAGGTGGTAATTTCACTTGTGCAACAGATACCAAGTAAGTCTTGAAAGGAGCAAATTCTTTTTCAAAATATGCTATATCGATACTGAAAATAGTGGCTTGAATTTGATTCTCCTGTAAAAGAATTTGTAGAAAGTTTGATTAGTTGTGTAAAATTTAAAAGTTATCTTATTATTTTTCATATTATTAAAGTAAAATTATAAAATGATGGATTATTTAGTTAACGCAATTAAAGTTAGGTTTTTAAAATCAATGATATATTAATAAAAATAAATACCTCTTCATCTTGCAGAACTAAGACTTGGTATTTTGTGGTTTTATCTTTGTTGTCCCTTGGTCGACTTTTATCAACAACTTGGACTTTACAGGTCCAATCTTTAGTATCGGGAGTGATCATATTGACGGTATATCTTTTTGCCATGTTGAAATATCTGCAATTAAAATACATTATAAGAGGATAAGCTAAAGGTAAATGTATAATGAAAGCAATATTATAATATACATAAATAAAAAAATAAAATAAAATAAAATAAAATATATATATATAGTATAAGTATGTTGTATATGAGATTTACCATTGCAAATTAAAGAACAAAGTTCAAGAAAAGGCCTTTTCAATAATTTCATTATAGACAACATTATATGTTGAATGATCATCATTTTCATCAATTATAGGTGGTCTAATTAATACTTTAACATTGTGAGAACTTGTTGCTCTTGATAAAGCAACATACAATTGTCCATGAGAGAAGAAAGGTTCCCGTAAATATATACCAACAAAATCTAATGTTTGTCCTTGAGCTTATTTATAGTCATGGCAAAGCATAATCGTACAGGAAATTGTGTTCTCTTAAAAGGAAGAGGCAATTTTTCATCTTCTGAAGTCATGAGTGGTATTCGTGGAATAAATACATGTGTATTTTTAAAATCACCGCTAGATATTGTTGCACTAATAACATGAGGTTTAAAATCATTACATATTAACCGTGTCCCATTGCATAAACCTTCACAAGGATTTAAATTTCTTAATAACATAATCGGACAATTTTTCTTCAAAGTTAATTTGTATGGAGGTAAACCAGTAGGATTTAAAGTGTGTAAGAAATCTTCATATTCACTTTGATCCTTTGGATCAATAGTTTCATCTATAGCAATATACACTTTTTCAGTGTTTGGAAATTGAGAGATCAACATGTCATTTATTTCATCAACAAAATCATTTTTAGTTGTTAGAATAGCACGAGAAGTAATAAACGAAGTTTTGGTACAACATGTGTATAAATCAAGATAAGTATTTCTAAAGAGAAGATTTAGAGATTCTTTTTCAGAAGTAAAAGGAATAATGAAGGAATGAGGAATTTCAATTTTTCCATGGTCATTTGTTTTTTCTTTTCCATCACCAATTCTCATTAAATATTCACAAAATTCAGGATCTTTAGTTGCACGCATATTCTTTGATAACTGTAATTTTTCAAGTTGATTCCAAATTTCAGAACACAATAAACTTTCACGAATAAAATCTTCTTTTTTTCCACTATGAACAACATGAAGAGTTTGTCTGAAATCTCCACTAAAAACAACTATTTTACCACCAAATAACGTATTTGTTTCCATTAGATCTCTTAAAAGCAAGTCAAATGCTTCAACCATTTTCTTTTTTGCCATTGAAATTTCATCCCACACAATTAATCGTGCATCTCGTATTAAAGATGCTAGTGAACTTTGTTTACTAATATTGCAAGTAAAATTTTCATTGACATCAATAGGAATTTTAAATCGAGAATGAGCAGTTCGACCTCCGGGAAGAAGTGAAGCTGCAACACCAGAACTTGCAGTTGCTAAAGCTATAAATCCCTTGTGTCTTACTGTAGCTAATAAAGCACGATATAAAAAACTTTTACCAGTTCCACCAGGACCATCAATAAAGAATGCCCCAAATTTATTTGACAATACTCTATCAAGAATAATATTGTAAGCCATTCTTCGTTCAGTGTTTAATTTATTTTTTAATAATAAATCTTCCTCACTAACAATGATATTTCTTTCGTAATGAACTTCTTTAGCTTCTCTTGCTATTGATGAAGGTTTGATATATTCTGAAATTAGTTCAAATTCATTAAAGTCACGACCCATTGAATGAAGAATATCATTAATGTAATTTAATACTTTATAAGGTATTTCTCTTACATTTAAGTTCGAACTTTTTTTGAAATCTTCAGACATTGGGCTTTCAAATCTTTCCCATAATTCTCTAGGATTTGTTGGATTACAATAAATCAATAACATAGCAAATAATTGTCTTAAACTGGATGTCATTTGATAACTTGCAGCTTCAGACATGCATTCTACCAAATTATTATCACAAAGTAATAGTTCTCTTTTTTCTGCAGCTTCTCTAAATGAATTATATTGTACTCCATTTATAGTTCGCAGATCTTCATATGATTTTGACCCTCTTACGTTCATTAAAAAAAGTCTAAGATAGTATCTTTCTCCTTCGGTTGGATGACATGTCACTACACGTCCAATAACATGACCTCGTTTACGACGTGTCCACATTTTATTTGTTGTTGACCATACAAAATGTTCTGGAAATTCACGATATAATAAATTTAGGTCCATAGCTTCTTTGTTTGATTTATTCATTAAAAAAAATTCAGTTAACATTGTTTTTCTTATCATGGGATTACTTGCAATTTTACTAATGTTGTCGGTACTTTTGAAGGAAACAAGTTGTTGTCCATCAAGATGTAGTTGTAGATGATATACACTTGGACTCATTTCGCTAATAGGAAAAGCGAATATTCTCCATGCAGCTTCAGGTGGTGATACCCACCTAGCTGATTGATATTCTTTTATTTCATCTATCTCTAGGTTTACATCATTAGTCTATATATGAAATGCTATTTTATCATGTCCTTTACAAATGTATTTATAAATGTACTTAACAACTTTTATATCCGAATAAATCTCTACATTTATATGGCAGTTGAATTTACAAAGTAAATATGGATTGTAAGGAACAACCCATGAGTTATCAAGAAAGTGTCCTCTAATTTTCACACTTTTTCCTGTATTTCGCCTTCTATAAATTGGGTATGAATTTTTTCCTTTAGTTATTTGTTCTACAAACTCTTTAGGATACTTATTTTTACAACGTCCTTTTTTCTTCATACAAGAATTTGTTGGATTCAAATTACCACAAGGACCATGCATCATGTGTTGTGTAACAAGTCATGAGTATAAATAGGGATATATATTTTCATCTGGTATTTCAGCACATACAAATCGATCATATGCTTCTGGAGTTAGTAATTTGTAATTATCATTTAGTATAATAAGAAAATGAGCATGGGGAAGTCCTCGTTTTTGAAATTCTATTGTATACATAAATGCTGCAACTTTACCAAATATATGCCTTTTTATTATATCATTTTTTAATTCTTCTACTTTTGCTCTAAACACTCTACTAACCAGATCAGGCCTATTTTGTACCTCATCAGTTGATATATGTTTTTCTTCTATTTCAGGCCAAGAAGGATTACATGTTATCGTAAAAAATATATCAGATTTTCCATAACGTTGCACTAATGCAATAGCATCCATATACCGTCTACGCATATCTCTTGGACCTCCAGTAAAGCTTAGTGGAAGTATGCGTTGTTTTCCTATATGTGAAGCTTCTCTTTCCCCCTTACGTAAAACATCCAAAATTCCATCTAATACATCAGTTCTAATTAAATCTTGATTAAAAGAAGCAAAGTCTAATCGTTGGCGTTCTATTTTTATCCATTCATCTACTACATATTGTTGGAATAATCTTCCAGCATGTAAGACTATATTTTCATCATCTCTTATTTGAAGTTTGTAACAATAATATTCACGACAAGAAATAGTGTCTCGTTTGTGCTTTTCTTTTAGCATAACTTCGGCTTCCATGTTAAGCAGTCCATCTATTGAACACATATTTTTTATACTTGGTAGTTGTTCTTGTTCACAATATACTTGTGTTGACGTTCTTGAAGAACACTTAATTTTCTTAATACCACAATGCCATCCACCTTGACCATACGGAAATAGCAATGGATATTGCAATGGATCATAACAACCGTAATAATAATTTACCAATTGACTTTTATCACTTTTTGTATATATTCGAATATGTGGTGTAGGAATAGAATTAGTAATATCTTGTTCTACCCATATTCCTGCAACTTCTGATACTGTTGGTAAGTTATATATACGCTGATCTAAGCCAGAATCACACTTAAGTGCAATATAAAAATCAGATAGTTGTGGAACATCTACTAAAGATTTTAAAAACATAGAGTATGGATTAATTTTTAATATTTCCATCAGAGTTCTCACAACATACTCATGAACATGCCATTCGATTTCTTAATTCATTTTCACTATCAAAGAAATATAATTGAAGATTTTTTCCTTTTTTATCGGTAGGAATCAAGTCATTGATGAAATTATAAATCTGACCTTGAACCCGAAATGTATAAATACCATTATTTCTTTTTGCTAATTCTTTGTCATAAGTTACTCCAAGAGATGTGAAAGCAAATATATTATTGTACGTTCTAATGTAAGTTCTAAAATGTTTTGATAGCTCTGTATTTTCTAGATAAAGGTTCTTTAAATCTATTGGAATCTCATATGTACTTAATTGAACAGAACCATTGCTACAACAAAATGCAGGCGGTTCATATTTAAATTTTATGGCTTTACAAAATTGACAATTTGATACTTCTTTTAATTTGATATAATTAATTTCTGATGGCATAGTACTACCTATTTCTGGTAGGAGCAACATGCGTTGTCTCATAAGATTAGAACTTTGTGCAACAGAAATAATGGTGGAATTAGAAGATGATGCAGTAGTCAAATCATTATTCATTGAACTTTCAGATAAGTTATGTTTTCTCATTTCAGCTCTCTTTGCTCGACGGCGTGCCAGAAGAATTTATTTTTCCTCAGGTGGCATCAATCTATATAATTCGCGTCTCCTAGCATTTCTATCCACATTTGATTTTTGAAAAGCATGCACATTTTTATGGTTTTTATTACTTGACATCTTTGGGATCAAAATAATTATCTGGTAAATAATAGTAATAATTTTAAATAAGGGATTAGTTGAGTAATACTTACCACACACTTAGAGAAAAAGTGAAACACAGGAGAGAACAACTACCGCAATTAAAAAAAATTAAAAAATCCAAATAATGTAAGGCTGATTTAAATAAGGGATTAGTTGAGTAATACTTACCACACACTTAGAGAAAAGTGAAACACTGGAGCGAACAACTACCGCAATGAAGTGGAAATTCTGTAAAGTTAATAGTTCAAACCATATATTAAATAATATAATAGACATGTTTAAAGAAATAATTTAAAAATGTAAGGCTGATTTAAATAGTAATGCAGAAGAGAATATGAAATGAGAATAGTGAGGCTAGCTTTTGTCAGCACTAAGCAATAGGATGTTATCATTTCTAATTCATTTTAAAGTTACCAGCTAAAGAAGAAAATAGCGAGGCTAGCTTTTGTCAGCACTAAGCAACAAAATGTTATCATTTCTTATTCATTTTAAAGTCACCAGCCAAAGAAGAAAACAAACAACAAATATCTCATTAAGACCATGGACAAACATACAACTCTATCCTATTTCATAACTGTTACCAACTAAAAAGAAGTATCCATCTCAATTAAGGCTGCATCATAAAATTTAACTGGAAAAATGTGTTACACAGTAACACAAATAAAAATAAGCTTGGGTGATCAGTTACATACACCAAAATTGTACAAACTGTAAATGGTTGATTTCTAACAGTTGTCTATTGTGTAAAATTCTACATGAGAGATAAACAATTAGAATGGAAACTTCTTAGTCATAATACATTGGCAAAATGTCGACTACATTCTCTTAGATAGAAACAAAATGCAGATAGCATAAACCAATGCAGAAATCTCAGAACGAACCACGAGTCATCAAGCATCACCCCTAAAAATGACAACCTATATGAACTTTACAAAGCACAGCGGTGTCCCAAGCCAATAAAGGTTACATTTTTTTTAGATAGATTCACTAATATAGCCTACTTTCAATGAATCATCTCCACACCACCTTAATAATGGTGAATGTGTAGAGAAGATTCATATAGGCAAACTCAACTAAAGTGATGTAAATACAGATAAATGTGCTAATCCAACTTTCTTGAAATCATAATTCCTAACAGATAGCTATGTGAATAATAAGAAAAAAAAAAGATAAATATATGAGAGAACGACAAAAAATTTGATGAAGAACTTACCTGAAATTTAAAGAATAGAAGACAAAACAAACTTGATATTACTGGAAGATGAACTATCTGTGAGAAGAGAAGATGAAGAGTTATTTATAGGTATGATGGAAATTTCTAGACAGAAGATATTTTGTAATTGTGTGCTTAATATTCAGCCACGTGGAAGGGGTTTAATGGACAAGTAAAAAATTATATTTTATACATAAAAAATAAATTAAATATCAAGCAGAGTGAATTATAATATAAAATGACAATTATACCCTTGAATTACCGCCTTGTTAGTTTTTTTATTTATTATAATTATTATAATAGTTATAATTATTAATTATTATTTATTATTTATTATTTTTTTCATTTGAGATTGACAAAATGAATGAAACATACCAGAGTTTAAAATTCAGTTGAAGAAGATGAGCAAGTCTCTATTGATGATGATTGTTGATCATAAAATTGTCCTGATGTTAAGATCTGAAATGAATAACAGCTTTAACTTTTGATAAAGGAGAAGAAACTGAAAATCTTATTTCTGAATCTGATGAAATTGAAAAAATGGAAAGCACAAAAAGTCAAAAATATAGAACTTTAACGATAGTGATGACGTCGTTACCGATGGCCGCCTTCACCAAGCTTGTTATATTCTTCATCCATCTAAACAAACAGAAAGAAAAT